TTTTCACCGGGGGGGGGGGGGGGGGGGGGTTCAATCCCCCCGGGAATCGGCCTTTGGCCAAAAATACCAACCCTCCCGGGGGGGGCAACCCTAAAAAACTTCCTTTTTTCAAAAGGGGGGTTGGGGGGTTTCCCAGGGATCCCGGTTGGGCCCCCCCCCCCCCCCCCTAGAGAACCCTCGCCGTTCAGCCAGCCATACGCCGGGGCCCGAGAAAAACGAAACTTGCTTTGTTTCGCGCGAAAAAACCGCCCTCTTGGACCGCGTCACCCTCAGGGTAAAAGAATCGAGAGAAAAAAAAATCCTAACGCATATCATACATACCGCACTCCATGAAAATGGGGACAGGGGATACTCACCGGTGAAGGCTACGCTCGACCCGATTATCGGTCATGAAGAAGCCTAGCTTGGGGCTCAGTCGGAACGCGTAGAATGGCCTCAGCGTGTGATCCGTCACTGCCGTCAAGATAAGAAGAAAGAAGAGATTGACAAGGGACATCGATCCGTGGCGCCAGAGGCACAAAGAGCGTGAGAAGATCAAAGGCATGTACCTGTACAGGCATACAGATAGACCGGTTCGACTGCAAAGCCTGCTGTGTTTCTCGTCCCTCCAACACTGACAATTTTGAAACGGTAGCCCGGTCGATGCTTGTCAGAGAGCACACACGCAAAACACTCTAGCACGCATCCTTTGCCAAAAAAAGACACATGAAAAGCTTGCCATATCATTCTTTGGGAGACACACAAAAAAGGCTTGTGCCATTCTTTGGGAGATGGAACTACAGCAGTTAATTTTTGGAGCGAGAAATCCGGCTACCCCATAACAAGGAATACACACGTAGACGGCACAAGCCTCCAGCTCATGGTTGGAAGCGAGTGATTTTCTTCCGTGGGGACTGGTAAACTGCAATGGATGAGGCCCTTTTTCGCATGACGACGATGATGCAAACCTGGTGCTGTTGCGATGACCTCATGTGAGATACACAAGAAAAAGGCACAAGAAAAAAGGGGCAAAAAAATACGTGGAAACACAAGAGTGTGCCCGCTGGCGCTATTTGGATCAATCGCCGATTTATCCCGAACTCTTTTATACGTGGATGGAGATGAATTCATTGTGTAGTATATGCAAGAAAAAACGTGAAATAAAAAAGATAGCAAGAAAAAATATAAAGAGAAATCCAAAGGAGACTTACCGTCGATCTCGTTCAAGAGCTGCTTCTGGTACTCGCAGTACACCTGATACCCCACCCTAGCCACGTAAAAGTCTGGCGTCGTGTGGTTGCTGTGCTCCGGCTCGTCCCCTTCATTGCATTGTTTCCGGCGAGTTCAGGGAGGGGTAGGTCTTACGGTGAAACGAGCCTGGAAACAGCTCATAGCAGACAGGTGGGCTGGCATGGTGCGGTGGAGAAGACGGCAGCAGCACGAGATTCTTTTCCACAAGGCTAAGACTACCTGGTACGGCCAGAGGAAGGTGACGTCATTCAACATTAACGACGACGACGACGACAATCATCAAACCGTGATACGCACGGGACACTACAGTACCCCAGTCAAGAAACGAGAAGACAAAACAACACATCCTGTAGTTCAACTTTCCAAGCCCCACGTCCTCTCAGAAGGACGGAACGTCGTTGTTTTCCTGGGGACAAACGGCGGCGTCAAGAGTAGCAGGGTCTCGTCGTGGATAGTTTTTCCGAAGACGGACTACGAAAACCGCTCCGGGTGTCACACCCTACTTTCTTGGCTGTCCGGGTATCGAAACTTCAGCAAAATCGACCTACGAACAGCAGGACCAATTCAACAAACACGGCCCGACGGCTTAAGGTTAGAGGACGACGAACAATAGTAGGCCGTACCGAGGTCATCCACGAACTCGTGGTCATCGCAGATCATGTAGTTCGCCGTGCTCGCCAGAACCTTGGCAACGAACGGGGAAGTTCCCATGTTCTACGGAAAACGCCCGTGTGGC